CTGACGATGTTGCGGAACCCGGTAACTTCCGGTTGGCGAAGCATCTCATCCAGACGCTAAACTCGTTCTGCGATCATGCGATCCTTGCCGAATCTCTGACGGTGGAGATTCTGACGTCATTGCTTGAGGAACTGACCATGCGTCTACTGCAAACGGATGAGAGCGCGGATGCCAAGGTGAAGGATCTCTCCCGGTTCATCAACATGATTGTCCTCCGGATTTTCGCTACGGGGCGTCGGATATCCATCTTCAGGTGCGTGCTCAGTTCCCGCTCGAGTGTTCGTACGTGCCTGACTAGTTGGATCTAGAGCGTTGTTTAACTTGCTTCTTCAAATAACGAAACCGTTCCCGGCCAACGCTACGAGTCCCGGATCAAAGGATGCGAAGTTAGCGGAGCTGGTCCTGAAATGCGTGTGGAAGATGGCAAGAAGCATACCCCAGGAACTCACGAAAGGCACGCTGGACGCAGTTGAACTCTTCCCCGCCATCGAGCAATTCCTTCAGTCTGTTCCACCCAACGAGTGGCGTCAAAGAGCGCAGAGCAGCGTTCCCGTGGGAGATATGCCCCTTCGGACCATTAAAGTTATTATTCAACATATTGTCGGTGAGTTTGCATTGCCTTTGTGTCCCATCAGATAGGTGATTAACAGTACTCCAAAGCCCAATACCCCGAGACAGTCTACGACCAGCTGTCAGAAGCCTTCGACGATCCATCTGCAACCATCGTATACCCATACGTTTACCGTATTCTGAACTCTACGACATCGCGTCCTGTTGTGGAGGAGGATGCCCGACGACGAACTAATGGATCCGCTCGGTCGGGATCTCCGTCTTCAAGTCGCGCGTCCCCTCCGATCGATGGTAATGGAGCTGCTCGTGACCGATCGAGGGAGCCGTCCGCGCTGGGAACGACTCTCAGCGGCTCGTCATTGGCCGAGGCTGATAGAGGCACCATGTACAGCGGAGCCTCTGAGCCGGACCCCGATGCTCGTCTCAATGAAATCATCGATCATATCTCGAGCGAGACTACTGGAGCCATGCACAAGGAAGGCATCACCGAGCTGCATCATTTCTTGAAGGAGTTCCCGCATAAGAAGGCAAAAGTGGACAAGATGCTTGAAGCTACCGGTCCAGCGTTCCGGAAGTACATCGCCAGGGCTCTTGCGAGTCGAGCCACGGAAGACGAAGAACGTGATGTTGCTGTCCACGGCACGTTGTCCAGTAAGTCCTTTATGCGGATACTTTTTCACTCAGTCCATTGACTTCGCCTTGTGATATTTTAGAACTGGAATCCGTGAAACGCGAGTCTCTCGACGTTGGTGCCAGTCGACGTGTTTCTATCAGCGGGTTTGGTCCTACATCCCCGACGCAGAGTGTGATAACCCCTCGAAGAGTCAGCGTTGGCAACATTGATCGACGTTTCAGTGTGGCGTCGGATGCACCGCTCGCCGACGACAAGGCCTTGTCCAGGTTGCACGACATCTTCCAATACCACGGCCGTTCCAGCATCAGCTCAAACGGCACGCATAGGGATTCACTGCCTTCACATTCGGAAAGCTAATTAATTCATCATGTTCTTCTCTTCTTTGTCCGATTACTCGTGGGGCTATTTCGTCGCCTACCTTACGTCTATATGCCTATTTGCTGTAAATTAGAATTCAGCTTCGCTTCTCCTCTCTTCCAATACTATTATGGACGTCTTCCGTCACACAAGATGTGGATGCAAAGAGTATGGAATACGAGTACAAAGTACAAGTACACGGTCACGTTGAATGGGCTGTGCCATTCTCGCTAGTTCCCTTCGTCGTGGTGTTCTCGTCATGTATGCCATTTGGGCCATTGGAGACAACGCCGGTACGTCGGCGGAGCTGGTTCTCGCGGTTGATGTCTTGTGTACACTCGTTGAACGGTTCGTCTGGGTCCAACTTGGCCAGTCTTTCGACTTCGACATTGCCCTCCAAAGACCCCTTCCGTTCCCTCTTCGCAAAGACCACAGGTGGTCTATCCGACTGAACGTCGTTGGGGAACGTACCCGACAGAGGCGAACGCAGAGACGCCTTGGGGATGAGATGGTGATCCTCCGGATGCGGATGCCGTCGGTTCTGCTCCGAGTGTTTCCTGAGCTGCTGGAGGTCGGCGTACGAGTTGGCCAAGCTCCTCGAGCGCATCCTGGTCGATGGGGTGACGTATCCCGGAAGATAGCCCACGACGTCGTCGTAATCGCCAATGTCTTCGTCGTCCGAGGCGTCGGAGACGTCGGGACTGTGCACACAACTGACGTCGCCGCTCTTTGACCCGGCCCAGGCGTTGGTCCCGCGCCTGGCGCTGCGGGTCCAACCCCAGATCCGCTCATCCAGCCAGGCCATTGGGTGGACGAGTAGGTGGCCTTGGCCATCGACGCCACCGCCCGTGCCGGACTTGGACCGCCAGAGACCGGGTGCGCCTGAGGATGGAGGGGCCGAACTCGAGGGAACAAGGATTCGCCACTGAACAAGAAGGCCATGGTAAGGACTGGAAGCACCGAGAAGGAGGTTAGTGTAGTCACCTCATCAAAGTCATCGTACAGCTTGGGTCCAAACTCATTGATGACACCGGAGAGCTCGTTCGACAACCGTTGTCGCATTTCCCGTATTTGGTCAAGTTGACGCTGTTGACCGGGGAACAAAGCAATGATCAAAGGTCGCAGGGACCTGAAGGTATCATATGTTCGTGATTAGTACCCGACAGTGTGGAGGTAGGTTATACTGACTTTAGCACATCCATTCCGGCTTCTCCAAACTTGAGCGCAGAGAACCCAATCAACGGTAACGCGATCATGGAAAGGAATGGCGTCAAGATCCTCCACTCCGTCGGGGCCCCGGCCTTGATGACAACGATGGTGGCAAGGAATGCGTAGAACAAGTACAAGAATGGTGCCAGTACGACGGAAATGAGCACCTTCCAGGTGGCGATGACGTCTCGTGCCGCAATTTTGACCGTTGAAACCGCGAGAGCCTCTGCGTGATGTCGTCAAAGTGAGTACGGAATGGACGTCTCAATCACCCACCTTGCTGCTTCTTACGTGATAGCAACTTGGCGGTAATGAATATCGGCCCGTTCAACACGACACCAGGGAACGAGAAAGCAGTCCACACAGCCAAAAGTCCGATACGATACGTCAACAAGCCGAGCGTTTTCCATGTAGCCCGTGTTGCACGCGCAACTTGGTGGTCCTTGAGGCCTAGATCTCGAATCTTTCGATTGTAGCGCAAAACCTCTGTTTTGAGGGCTTGGATACGGGGTTCGTTTTGGAAGTGAAGGTAGCCCTCGATAAACCGTTTGTTGAGTTCGACCACTTGGCCCAGGGATAGGTGTTCGCCAGGAGACTTGTACAAGCGGCGACCGGCTTGAATAAGCTAACATAACCAAGAGGTCAGCAGGAGCTCGCGAGTCGCCTGCAATACGTACCATCAATGTATCAAAGTCGGGAGCGCGTACAGTGACAGTCTTCAGACCATCGTAGACCAAATCCAGCAGTTTGCCCGAAGCCTCTCGCTTGTTGGGGCCGCCCAAGCTGAACATTTCAACAAGTTCTGGTGGGACATCGAGAGGAGTGCCGAACTCAATGACAGCACGAGAGCGGAACTTGTGGGCGTGGAAGTAAGATAATCCTACGGGCACGATGCGCACCCGCAGATTGGGATCTGCTGCCATTGCACCGAGGGCCATGATTGCCACGCCTGCCTTTAGAGGAAGGAGATCTGTTCTGTCGTGAGACCCACCTGCGGAGGAAGTCACGAATTTCGACGATTGTAATCAGTTGGGGCAAGTGACGGTAGAACCCCACAGGAAGTAATAGACTTACCCTCTGGGAATATGGCAATGCTGCCACCCTCTGTTAATCGTTTGTAGACGGCACCGTACATCTCTGCTTGGTCAACAAAAGGGAGGACTTTGTAGTCCAGACCATCGATGCCCTCGTTTGCCTTGACTTCTTGGACCTTCTCGCGGAAACGTGACGTCGTCTTGCCGCTCTCCCCACCGAACTCCTTCTTGACGCGTGCTTCGGTGTCTGATATAACCTCGAGCACTTCTGCAGCAGCGGAGCCGACAGACTTTGGTAATAGTATCTGCTTTCTGGGCGCGAGTTGGGTGGTGAAGGAGGTGTTGTAACCGATGACGATGCAGGGATCATCTGGGGACAGTGCGATGCGACCTTTGCCGGGTTTTGCGTCATCCGCCGCACGGACAACTGGGACTGTCAAGAGGTAATGTGAGCGGTGACAGAGTGACCTTGAGAGTAATAAGGGGACATACTGCTGCCCATGAGCCGTGCAAAGGTGCCGACAACTCTTCGCTTGAGGCTCTTTGCGGCAATGAGGAAGGCCGGGCGGCGGTGGGCCTCTCGGAAGGCCTCTGAGGCGAGTAAGATAGGGTCGAGGAACTACGAACAAATGATCATTCGTCAATACTCGTGAACACTGCACCTATTGCACGTAAGGGGATGAACCGCACAAACCTGGTTATGGTGAGGTGCAGCTACGAATATGACAGGGCCATCTTTAGGAATATTGTATGCACCTCGGGCACGAATCTCCCTGAAGAATATATTGACGACAATACGCCAGAAGAAGAGGATAGTGTCATATGTGATAGCAGCTTGGGTGGAATCGGGAGCGGCCATTTTGGGATGGAAGGGATGGAGGAGCTCGAAAGAGCGTCGGAGGGTGGACGTGAGACTGCCGCAAATCGAACGGTATTCGCAAGCGAGTAGGCGGCGGAGGAGAGGGTGAAAGACAAGTTGAAGCTGTCTCGAGAGCGCGCGGTCGATAACCAAATGTCCCACCAACCGAACGGGGTTAAGACGCCGACATCGCCGTAGCCCCTGAAATGCCAATCTTGACTATCCAGCTGAAGCGATGAACGACCTATTATGGGGTGTGCTGGATGAATCAAGGATAGAATGTTTCATCGTGTTGTACTACCCGCTGTAGGGTGGACAAAGCTGTGCCCTTACATCAACATCGGTGGTGGAGTGGTTATCATGGTCGCTTCCCATATCTGAGCCAGCGATCGTCCCGGGTTCGAACCCCGGCCGATGTAGCTTTTGTTTTGCAGGAACGATTTTGTCTCGCACGAGGCCTCGGCCGGCAATACACGCAATCGGTTGTTCCGATGGGTTAGCGTTGCTCGTATGGATGTCGGGTCTCCGTCCCCAACGACAAGATTATCGTTGTCTGGAGTCCCCACAAATTGGCTTATTGTTCCAAGTTCTTGAGGTTCTCAGAGTGGGACGCCAAGGGGTGATCCGAGCCGCAATAATATTATCTGAGAAGATGAAGCCACTATGTCGCGAAGCCGATAATGCTATGGTAAGATGATGTGACAAGTGCGCAGGAATTGCAACGTAAATTTGGGCCTTTGACCTCTTGAGCAGGTCATACAGCGAGCAGGCCATCTTAGTTGACACCTGGCCTCACTCTGGATGGTGTCCCGAGGAAGGAGTTTTTTTCGTGCGAGTCGGGCATACTGCGCTGGTTGGCGGTGGACGGGGCCGCCTCCCCGCCACAAGACAGGAGAGGGATTCAAAGTGCATCGAACATTAACAAGAGAATCTACGATTGAGGATAGATCTGAAGGGTGGTGATCAACAGGCTTCAATCTGGACCATGTTGTCCGTGCGAATTCGCGCAAAAGGCCCTCTTCAGAGCGTTGAAGAGATGCCGGCTCTAGGGGCAGCCACGCGTTTGAATAAAGTGAAGGTCCGCCTCGCTAGCATGTTCGCCGGTACAAGCTAGTCCACGACCTGGCGATTAAATGTCCCCAATTCTCAACGGACTTTGCCCATTACATACACGACGCTCACCCTGGCTGCCCTCCTCTGAGTCACGCGGCAGTGATGGAAATCGAAGCTACCACACACGTATAAAGAGAACAAACTTGGACCGCCTTTTGGCCCTTCATATTCTCCTCCCGCCTTTGCTACTCCTCATTCCGTCATCCTTGCGAAACCAGCTACTACCTCTTGCGAAACTTGGCAACAGCACCGCCCATATATTCCCAACCACCCACAACTTTCTCTACTATGACTTCTGAACTAGCCTTCGACCCCTCCGAGGAATGCATCTACGTCACCCAGCGAGGAATGGCTCGCGACCGCAGGCCTCTTTACTGCATCATCAAAAACATACCGTGAGGGTCCTCGTCTCTCCACGCACGTGGTGGCGTCAACTCACTGTTCCTCTGTAGCTCCAACGGCAGGTCCCCCGCCGGTGAGCTCGAAATCCGCTGCGTTGACCTCTGGAGGGACGCTTTCCTCGTACTGGAGAAGGGGTTCGCTGCTCCCCTCTTTCACTCCCAATCCCACCTCCTCACCTGTCTCTCCCCGCAGTTGTTCGTATACCCAGTTCTTTGACGATCCCGAGCATCTGAGGTATGATCCCATCCGATATCCTGCCAACCTTCTTGACTGATTCCGCGTCTCTCCGCCAGGTGCAAAGGTTGCGGACTTGCTGTTTCCAAAGTCCTTCTTCGGTCCGGAATGGTCATGGCCATCAGAGCTGTCCCTCCGGACTACAAAGTCCCGAGGACCATGGGCAGAGTATGAGAACTCCCCAACTGGTTCCAGCGCCCGTCTCGAACATTCCCCTGTCCCAAAATTTCTCATCCGGGGTGGAACTGTGGCTTCTGTCAGGCCAAGCCTTCCCCGTCGGATCTCTTCTTGTCTCATCCCGCTATCTCACTTATGTTGTCCGAGCTGTCTTTTCTGCTGCCTTCTGTCCGCCCAATCCTCTGTCGCGTCGGGTTCTTACCGTCTTGACCCCATTCGCAAAGAAGGACCCGCATGTATAACACCACTGTATATTGAAGAGTGCCAATTCACACCTGTACAATATGTCCATTTACTCCTTGACGTAACCAGGGCAAAAGGAATCGAGGACCCGTGCGGTCGACGGGCTTCCTTGAATGTTCTGGATAGCCGACAACTATCTTCATGATCCAATCGCTAGGCGATAACCAACGGCCCATCCCATCGTCGGGTCGCCGCCCAGAAACTTTCTGTCGGACCTCGAGGTCTCGTCGTGGTAAACATGACGAACACTTGGAGTCCTATTTGTGCAATCTTGCGCCCAACTCTCGCCCGAAATGAGGGCATCCGGGCTGGCTTACGTGTCGCAAGGAAACCACAGCAAATAGCAAGTGATTGAGACAAAACATGTAAGACCAGCCGCCCGGCCGGCAGTCCATAACCATCCGTGCATCGAGGTCATTGGATGGATTGCACCGGCATCCCAGTTTCTGGCTCCGATGCTGCCGCATGCAGGCAAAGGCAAGAATCACGACATCGCCATCGTCGCTCAAGTGAGCATCTTCTACCCGAGTCCGACTCGAGGACGCTCTTGGTGGTTTTGGGGTCGAGTAGCGTGTTGGCAAGTCCACGACTCGCGGCGGGATACGGAACAGCAAGGAGCTCGTTTCCTATCATCCGAGTAGCTCAAGATTCAGACAGCTATCTCGGCCGGAGTGCCTGACATCGAGAGAAAAGGATGCGCCAGCAACCAAGCATGTGGGAGTCGGAGTCTGTCAAGGGAAGAAGCGTGTCGGGCGATTCAGAATGATGGTGCCATTTGGGAAACCAACATTTATCTACGCTTTGTCATAGCACAAGCATCTGTCAACAATTTGCTCGCGTGGCGATCCAATCTCAACCCCGACCATCGCAGATTCACCCGACGGCGCGCTGGCAAAAGTCTCGATGGCGGCATACAAGCAGGCTCCTAACCGTCAGCCGCCAGGTACCCTAAGTCTCGCTGTACCGTCTGCCAATTCCGGTGGTTCCAATGCCATCACTCCTACTTCCACGTCTCCCCTCAAATCACCCCTCCGGGTACCCCCCAGGACACCCGCTCGGTCTCCAAGTACCACAAAGTTCCCGCCGACCCCAGCAATCATCAAGTCTTTTGAAGAGGACCTAAGCAGACTTGAGCCAGACCAAATGTTTGCTAGATACACCGTATCCGAAGTCAGAGCGCTACAAACACGGCTTCGGTGAGCAAACCCGCCCGTCCAGTAGCTTGTCGGATAATAATGTTGCTTTAGAACCGAAGCTGATTCAAAGCAAGAAGAGCTTCGACTTATGGTTGGGTGCGTCTGATGCAATATCGAGGCGTCAATGAACGCTGCGTCATCAGTTCTAATATTGACTTGCTTGAAAGCGCAGCGAACGCTATCGCGACCTATTGCAAGCGTCTTCGGCCATTGTATCAATCTCTGAGACCTCTCAACGAGTACGCGATACTCTCGTCGAGATGAAAGCAGCTTGTAGTACTTCGAAGGAGATCCGGGCGCTGCAGGGCGGACATAAGAAAGCGCATAGTCTACTCGGCGTGAACACTGGCCGTGGTCGATCCTCGCTGCAAGGTAAGGATGTGCCTCTTCTTGATATGGACGAGGCTAATGAGAGTGCAGATTCGCAGCTATCTACCCTTCAGTCCCTCGCCGCACATTTGAAGTTGCTGCTTGACACTCCGGAACAATTATGGCGTTTATTGGAACGAAAGCGATACCTACAAGCTGCGTGGCTGTATTTGCTAGCACGCGTCGTCCATCGCGCGTTGACCGATGAGGACGAGGATGACGAAGAGCGTGAAGTGGCTTGGACCAAGGAAGGGATCCGTGTCGCAGTAAGTTTATCCTTCATTTCACCCTAGGCCTTGGGGCTGATCACCAATAAGGATCAATTTCCGTTGATCCAACGACAATGGGACACAATCAGCTCGTTTCGGTCCCAAATATCTTACCGAGCCGGACAATCACTTCGTGACCATCCATCCTCTCCCCCGGTTTCACCGAGTTCCCTCGAATCGTCACCTTACCTTCCAGTCGCTGAGACCCTCGTTTCCATTCTCCTCCTCGACTCGTTACCGCTGTCCGAAACCTTGGCCCTCTTCCTGTCACAACGGACGAAAACGCTCCAAGCCGTTTACTCCAGTCATCGTTCATTAAACTCCGCCGCACACTCGCCCGCAATATCGAAAAATCGACGAAAGAACCAAGAGCTTGCTGCCAACCTCCTCCGCAGTCCGAATACGCAAGGAGCAAACCTAACACCTGATCCGACCAACGACCTCAACGCTAACTTCCGGCTGCCTCCGTCTCCTGGGGTCGTTCCTGACGTGGATGTACTTGAACGAAGGCATGTAAAACGCAGGCGGGAAAAGATTTTGAAGCATGTGCGGCAATCTTTAAAACGTGCGGTGGACCTCATTGCAGTCACGCTGGGCGCCTCTCGTGATGTGTACGGTGGTGGAAAGCAACAACCCCTCATCGAAGTCCTTCTGGAAAATGCCGCAAGCTCTGACAACGCGACTGGTGACAACGTTCTCGAAAATGCTGTGAACACCCCACTGCTGTTGAAGTCCTTACCGTCGTCGACGCTCCTGGATCGCTATCTGCCCAATTCCATCAAGTCCTTTGCACCTTACATTGACACCACATCTCCGTCATCCCGTCTATCTTCTTCAACCGCTGCGTCGACAGTCTCGGAGTGGTTTAGGACGTCGATAGAAAGTTTGGAGGGGAAGCTTTCCACGTGGTTGGAGGACCTTGACAGCGTTCGCGACGTGTGGTCCGTGTGGTCCGGGCTCCAAGCGCCTCGCTCCGACACGACTGCCGGTTGGTGGGCGATCCTTACCCCGATTGAGAGGGATCAACTCTTGGCTGTGGTGAAGAGTGCTTGCATACGGCGTGTCAAGGACGTGTGGAAGGATAAATTAGGTGAGGTGGAGGCCACTACGGTCCGGGAGGTGCAACATTGTGTGGAGACCCTCCGGGGAGGTGGCAAAGACGGGGAATCAGGTCCGTTCCTTCCGGCCCTCGCTTGCGAACCCAATGTTCAACTCACCTTTGCAACGAATTTGACCTGTAGATGTCAACCCGTCGTCGTTCTACTTCCAGCCCGAGTTTTTGGCAGCGTTGTCTGGGGCAGACTTCCCAGCAGGCCCATCCTCTGCACCCAACCCCCTGCAGAAATGTAAAGACGCGCTCAAGCAACGTGTTTCGAACCGGACGCCGATGCTACATTCTGTTCTTGTCAGCCTCGA